TTTAGGAGCTTTCAGTGTACCAACAAACAATTTGCAGTCTCATATTCTCACCATCACTTTGTCTAGTTTAGAATGCTTTATGATTCACACTACTTGAGTTAATCTTTGCAAATCATCACAACCTTACAAAATGTATCTTCTCTTTCGAATGTTCAGACTGACTTAGAATAACTGCAAATTAACCTTTTTACTGCTAGAATACCTTGACAAAGTGATTAATGAAATGCTACTGGAGAAAAACTGGTGAACATATAAGCTCTTTTGTTCTCATGAGACATTTAGCTTTGTACATTTCAGAATTTTTATCCATAGTTTGCTTGTCAGAAAGCATTATTATGATTGGCTAGAATCACTCCACATACTTTTGAACCATATAAACATAAAACGGTGAAGCTAGGTTTGGAAGCGAAATTTTTTTCTGTAAATATTTAGGGAAGAGAAGGACTTTTTCTTTAGAAAAAAGCTGAATTTCTAATTACTATTTTGCTAAATATTTGAAAAACATTTTGGATTCTAAGATATGTTCTTTTAGTTTCATAAATTGGTATATACTTGGCGAGTTGGGATTTCTGAAAAACATATACTTAAAGCATTGATCTTGTCATGTTGTCAGAGTATCTTGTCAACTATAATCAAATGACCCAATTACATAAAATGTGAGTTATTTGATAGAGACGAAGTGAATTTTAATTACTCTTTTATTTAAACAAGTTGTGTGTCTTAGTTAAGTCATTTAATATTGCTTGGCTTAGTTTTTTTCACATATATACTGACTATGCTGAGTCAGTTGATGTTCAATGGCTTCTGGTGCCTGAAATATGAGCCTATTTTATCCCAGATGAAATTTAGTATTTAGTGTGTATCTGTATAGTTATCAATTACATGAACATTTTTAAGTATTAAAAAAAATCTTGTAGAAAGTGCTAGTCATTATTAGTGGCCTAAAATACGTTAATAAAAAGCATGAAATATATCCAATAAGTTGTTGCAGAGACAGGTTTTTGATGAGTAGGAAGAATTAGTTAATTCTCGGAATTGAATAAATGCATTATTAAACTATGAAAGAGAAAGATCCAGTTAGTATTAGGGTACAGCACAAGTTTGATCAACCAAAGTTATGCTAATGTAGAAAATGGTACTTATCTACATAGTGAAAATGTCTTCATTTTTATGGTTTAATTACTGTGTAATAACACTAATTTGCCTTTAGTTCTATATCACAAAATGAATATTGTTTGGAAGTAATACTTTTATGAACATTTCAGACACAGAAGGGCATGAAAGGAAAATTTAAAATAGAGAAATGAAGAACTTACTTTATATTTGCTACGATCTTGCATTGAAAATAAAATTATCCTTATATTAATTATCTTGAAGCTTTTGTTGTTGTAGTCTTAATGTCTCACACAGTTTAAACAGAAGTTTGGATTTGAACCTCATCATTTTTTGTAGTTCAGACCCCAAGCAATCTACATCAGTACAATAGTCTCATAGCTTATTGGTTTTGCAATCAACAGGAAGTGCATTGGGATGATTTGAATTACATAAATCAAGAAGAATTGCATATTTTGGCACATTTTGTAGACTGTTATAAAATTATTATTACTCAAACAAAATGAGGTATCAGCGTGCTAATTTGATATTACATATTTTAAGTGTATTGCATTTATTTTTTATACTGATTCTGCTATATTTTATGACTTAGCACAAATTCCTGTGCAGCTTGAAATAAGAAAATAAATGAAAAACTTTTGCTCTTGAAAGTCAGACCTTAATGATGGAGAATTTATCTTAGGTTTCAATTGAATTAAGTCTTGATTTTCCAGATTTTTCTCTATAATAGAAAATATAATTATGATTCACTGGTATTTATTTTTATTGGAAAGGCAGATCTACAGAAAGACAGAGATAGAGAAAGGTCTCCTGTCCTCTGGTCCATTCCCCAAGTGGTTACAACAGTCAGAGATGAGCCATTCCATAGTCAGGAGCCAGGATCCAGGAGACTCTTCTGGGTCTCCCACGTGGGTACAAGGTTCCAAGGCCTTGGGCCATCCTCTACTGCTTTCCCAGGACACAAGCCAAGAGATGGATAGGATATGGAGTACTTGGGACATAAAGGAGCGTCTATAAGTGATCCTGGCAGGTGCAGGTTGAAGATATAGCCATTAGGCCATCATGCCAGGCCCAAGAAATTGGTTTTAATGAAGTCAATTTTTAAATATGGATCACCAGTTCTTGGTGTAAAAATTAAAATTATTTTAATTTAAAAATACTTTGGAGAAAAAGTATTCTTCTAGAGTGAAGTGATATCAAATGTTATCTAACATTTGAAATATTTATGTTTGACTACACACACACACACACACACACACTCAGGCGCACCCTTCTTAAATCAATTATACCATAATTATACCATATTTTCTAATATAGAGAAAAGTTCTTCATTTATTTTCTTATCTCAAGCTGCACAAAATGCCTGACCCTGCTTTATTTTATCAATTATTATATGTTTCATACTGAGAATATAATTTAAACATTCAATTGTACTAAAAAAAACAATGTTTGCATAAACATTTTTTTCTAAGTGAAAGTACCTTATTTGAATATATTAACACAATTATAGAATATTTAATAACTTGAAGTATGGCTTAAAGCAAAATTAATGTGTTACATATATTTAAGAAAGGTGCACCTGTGTGTGTGTGTAGTCAAATATAAATATTTCCTATTATTCAATCTCTTTAATTTTCAAATAAATGCACTAAATCATTTAAATAATGTTACTTGTAAATTAAAAAATTTATATATTAACTAAAAAGAACTGTGAAGTTCAAAAACACATTTTGAGATAAGCTAGATGTCATCCAGAAAGAAGTCCTAACAATTATAAGCAATGTACCTGTAAATTGCTGCACTATTGTTTAATAATGCACTTATGCATTTACACAAGAGCACTGGTGTCTTGCTTTAACCATGTTTGTGTGATGAATTTCAGTATTTTTCAGAATCAGTCTTGAAAATTTTATGCAGAATTTGCTTATTGTCCTGATTCATAAGGAGAATTGACTAATACTTGATTTAGCATAAAATCCAAATTTCAATTTTCAGCTTAGGAAATACAGGTTTCAAATCTTTTTTTATTTGTTTTTTCTTTGTTATTGCCAAATCATTTGTTTTGTTCCTTTCATTTGTACTTCCATATCCTTAGAAATAAGTTTAAAACATCACAGTCCTTTTTGTTTGACCTTTTCTGCTAGGAAATTAGAGAGGATTTTGATCACTGAGGTCTAGACCACAGTGAAATTGTAGTCTTAAAAGTAAAATGCAAGTGTTTTATTGCTCCTGCTTGTGAGGCAGTTCTTTTTCTTTTCCTTCAGTATGTTTGAAAATCCTATATTTAAGAAGTATGAGTTAATTAAGTATTCCAACAGTAAATTAGAAGTGTGTGTCTGTGATTCATATCATGGTTTAGAGCTATTGTGTTGAAAGGTAGGAAATTGCAGAATATTATTTAGAAGATCCGTTTTACCTGAAGTGTCATATTTTTCTCTTCTGTACTTCAGATTGTATTACCATGTAATTGCATTTCTTATAAATGAAACAGCTTATGGTGAAAAGCAAATGTTCTGTGTATATGTTAATGACAGAGATATTGAACAATGCTTCCTCAGGAATCCTTAAAAGTCAAAATATTATTTTCACCTTATATTCTCTCTGATCTATTTGTTTTTTTTAAGATTTATTTATTTATTGGAAAGTCAGATATACAGAGAGGAGGAGAGACAGAGAGGAAGATCTTCCGTCCAATGAATCACTCCCCAAGTGAGCGCAATGGCCGATACTATGCCGATCCGAACCCAGGAGCCTCCTCCAGGTCTCCCATGTGGGTGCAGGGTCCCAAAGCTTTGGGCCATCCTCGACTGCTTTCCCAGGCCACAAGCAGGGAGCTGGATGGGAAGTGGAGCTGCCGGGATTAGAACTGGTGCCCATATGGGAACCCCGGGGCGTTCAAGGCGAGGACTTTAGCCCCTAGACCACGCGCTGGGCCCTATTCTCTCTGGTTTATTATTTCTCCCTTTCCGTTTCACATATCTTTGATTTCATGATACAAATTTACTCCAAATCGATTTTAATCAAGTTCAAAATATTTATCTTTTTAAGTTTTTGTCCTTTTATGTATATTTTTACTTATGTCTCAAAATGTAGACAGGAGTGATGATGTCCTTAAATTTTTGCTATGAAAAAAATGCACACTCCTCTCTATCCAGGTCATTATAAATTCAAGTATTTAAAATTCATTTATTTTGTTGAAAAATACACTTTGCTAATTGTTCCAAATCAAGCATGATATTGCAATGGTTTAGAGTTGTGCAAGTCCTGAGTTTTTCTTGGAAATGAGAATGATATTGAATTCCCCTGTTATTTGAGTTTTGTGATATAATAGTCTAAATTAGGTACGAAGACAGTTATATTTGGGGGATTATTTCCTAAATCGTGATAAGAAAATTCCTTTGAGCATTTCCTATGCCAGTGTCTATTGATTTTTGTCTTTCTACTGCTATTTTCCACTTATGAATTTTGAGGCAGAGAGAACATTTAAGTGAAAAACAATGTTTTTCCTTATAGTACATTTTCAGTAAGAGACTCCAGGAGAGACACTGGCGTGTCAATGTGGGACTGTACTTTGTCATCACAGGGAAAAGCAAACTAGAAAATCTATCAAATTTTTGAAAAATGTTGAGTCCATTAAAAAATGTGCTTTTGGAAATAGGACCAATTGTTACTTTCTAGATGCCAGCAAATTGTATAGGCTTGATCCAATTCCAGAAACATATATTTAAGTAGACTATCATGTACAATCAGTCCTTATATGTCTCAGTCATCGCATTCTGTGTAAAAGGAGGTTGAAATGTATTAGAATTTATATTTATTTAGTTATGCTAATATAACCTTAAAATATAATATTTATTGTGTTTAATTTTATTATAATCTCTTTTTAGCTTTCATTCCTGGACTAAAGAAAGGTTAGTAGAACACGACACATACCATTCCCATGGTGCATGTTTCATTTTAAAAAGAATCACTGATTTATGTGTATGAATGTTTTAAGAACTTTTGTTTTCACTTCTCCTTAAACAACAGTTTCAACTGTTTGTTTAAGCACATTTTCAAGGCATTTAAAATAAGTATATATTTTGAAAGAATATTCATTCTGTTGGACATTTTGTATACCTGGATGCTTTTACATAATTTTGAGTCATCCATCTTTAGAAAGCAAGATTAATGTGTTCCTATAATCATTTATTTGACGTATAGTCACTGCTTTCAAATTGCCAGCAGATTTAATTATTCATTTCCCTTAGGACAGTATGAACATTTCAGCATTTTTTTCTGAAAAGGATTTTAAGATGTAATTTTCAGTATTTTTTCATTTGATCAGTAAATTTTATATGCTATATACATTCCTCACAAATAGTCTCAGATTTTATTTCTTGTAAATTATAAATAATACACAAGATGAATTTTTTTGCTAAATTTTAATGTATAGGTTATATGTGAATCTATACTAAATCAAAGTTGACTCAAAGCACATGTTTAAGCAATCAGTTAAAATGTGTATAATTTTATTGTTATTAAATTTAAAAGTTTTGCAGATGTTTTGAACTTTTCAAACATATTTACTCATTGTGTATATATATCAACATTTTTATTGTCCCCTTTTTATTTTCGCATTTATCTGTTATAATAGTCCATTACTTTTACATTAATTCATTTCATGTGATACACTCTTATTTTAAACTGTAATTTGTAATGTATTGGGGCTTTGACCAAATAGAAATAGCACTTAAAATAAATCTTGATGAAAACAAAAATGCCACATTTATTCTTTTACTTTGACACATCAGTGATACTAAAAGCAAGCTCTATTTTTAATGTTTGAAATGTTGCTTTGAAATTTTATGCTGCATTTACAATATGTTTTATGATATTTAAATCAGTTCTAAAACTAATGATACATTTTTGGCGATCATTTATATTGTGATAATGGGGAACATTTATTACACTTGAAACTTTAGAATATTCAGCATTTACATGGGTTATTCAGACAGTAGTGGATGCATTGAGTATACTTTGAACTTTGTGTCTCCTCTTCTCATTGGTCTTTCATTATCCCCTGACACTATTCATGAAATACTTATATCTAACAATCATGGGGTCTTGGTCATTTGTATGGTCTGAAGTCTAGATGTTTTGTTTATAAATATTCATATAGTTAGAAAGAGCATCTTAATGTGTAGTAGTTTAGATGACAATCATACATTTCATTGGTTTTATATATTTAGCCAAGTCTTTTGAACTCAAAAAACTTTATTTTCTCTATTTATTGTCCTAATTTAAACTTTATTTACAGATTATATTATTATTCCCATATTTTAAGAGGTGGAATTTGCATAAAAGAAAAAAAATAAATTTAAAAATGAATCTGATAATCCTTAGTGCACTATGTAAGTGCCTTTGTAAGGCATTACCATCTCTTTTTTTTATTATCACGTTTTATTTTATGACAATTTCATAGGCTCTGGGATTCCCCCAATCCCTCCCCATGCCCTCCCACCATGGTGAATTTCTCCACCTAACTGCAGTATTACAGTCAAATCCAAGCATAATTCTTACATTGTAAGCATGTACTTTGCATAGTGTCAGCATCTTATTGTCCAGATAAATTCAACCGTTTCTTGGGGAGACCATCTCTGGTCTGAAAGCAGAGCTGGCAGAATATCATCCTGACCAATTAAAAGGCACAACATAACATCAACAATTGTTTACAACTTTATGGAGTTAAATGACATGGTATTGAGTGACCAATATATTTAAAAATGCAAGTTTTTAACCACATCCTGTGATTACTTCATTGACATTTCAATTTTAGTATCTACACAACTGGCTGCTATACACCTTAAAATGGTTATAGGGTACTGTTTAGCTGTCTCGTGTCTATTTTCATCTTTGTATTATTAGCATAAATTTTACTGAACTTGGTAAATTTTGGGATAGTCCATGTTGGCTTATAACTCTAACAAGGTATATATTAACAGTGGAGGCACAGAGCAGTTTTAGGAGGGGTATGCAGAGAAATATTCAATACCTTAGTGAGGAGTAACTAATCTTTGTGTCCTACCTAGTAAGGCTAACCATTTCATGTTTGGTTCTAAGCTTTCCTTGTTGTTCTCTGTCTATCTAATCTAATTTTTTTTTGGGGGGGGGGGGCTGGGGAATGGCCTCCAGAGTGACCCTGATGGTCATTGCAAGAGAGGGTGTGGATCCAAAGTTGGAACTAAGTAAGGACCAGAGAAAGCCCCTCTCCCTAGTCCCGAAGTAAATGTACTGTTCTGTTTCTGCAGACTGCTCAAGGCTCGTGGCTGTTGTTCTGATGACATTGGCTCCTGTGGAGTAGGATTTGGGCTTCTTCCATCCCATGTGGGAGATCCAAATGGGAGTGGATGACCTCAGAGTTCTCGGCCTCTGTGGTCTCCTTGGCAGTTGGATATAGTCCTTGGTGCCCGTACTGATAGTCCTTGGTGGGGATCTGGGGCGTCACTCTTGCTATTTCAATCTACATTGATGTATCACTGAGTTATAATCATTGCAAGTTAAATTCATATTTCAAATTTTACTCTTATTAAATAATATGTATTTATATATTCATAATGCAACTAGGTTCTAATTCCAAGTTACCCTGCAAATTCACTGTACCTTTTATTGCTATATTCTATGATTTTCCCTTTGTGTTTTGTGTATCTTCTCATTCTTATCAATTCATTTGATTATATTTACTAACATTTACCTCAGAACATTTTCTTGGGAACACTTCATAGAATTAAATGAGACTATATATGAGGAAAAAGTACTCTATGACTCTAACCTTGAATTTAGGAAACTAGTATAATTTCCTTCATTCAGTTCTTCAATTGCATATTGACTAAGTTGTAGGAATGATATTGGCTTATTTTCCAAAATACGTAGGTATTTCTCCACATTGTCACGTTCATCCATACACGGAAGTACTTGGTAGTGAGACAGTCATTGCTTCATTTGGAGATGCCTTGCTTTCTTCCAAAGTAGAAATTGCAGAAATTAATATATTAGATTCCATTTGCTCACAACTGCACTAAATTTTTCACTCATTTTTCAAGGCAAGTGATTTGTCTGTATCTTTCACATCATTTTCTGTTGGCATTGATGTCTTGGATCTGTAAGTAGTGCTTGTCAACTGTTTTATCTACCTGCAAGTGTCAGTTGGTTGTTTATGTTAGCACTTCAGTTATCTAAGGTGAGTTATGGCATATTATTAAGCAAACTATATTTGATTCTCAGTTAATCATTACAGGTCTGTCCTTGAACAGATTGCCCATGCTTTTTGTTAGTACTCAAGAGTTAGGAGCAATTTAAGATATTTTACTTAAACTCCAACTGTTGGATCTGAGTCAGAGATAAATGCGTCAAAGGAAAAGAGAGTGATGGAAAATGAGGCTGAGGTGAAAGGATATCGGAGGGGGTGGAAAAATGATTTTTTGCCCACAAAAATAATCAACCATTTCATCTATTTAATCAATGAGAGTTTGTGGGAGCTAAACCACCACTTAAGAAACTAGTATCCCATAAACATACCAGTTCAAGTCCCAGCTGCTTGACTTCTGATCCAGCTCCTTGTAAAGTTCATGGGAGAGCACTGTAAGGTGGTCCACATTTCTTGTACTCACAAAGAAGAATTGGATGAAGCTCCTGGTTCTTAGCTTTGGGACGGCCTAGCTAAAGGTATTCTTGCCATTTGCAGCCTGAAATACCAAATGAGAGACTGTTTATTCTATCTCTCCCTCTGTAACATGATCTTTGAAATAAAACAAATAGACATTTTAAGTAGAGATTATGAGTGTAAAAAAAAGTTCACCTTTATGCATGATACATATGGACATTTTCTAATGTTAATCAGAAAGCCAATAGCTTTTATTGAGCATCCTTTTTTTTTCACAGACAGGAATTCATGTAAATATGTGTGTACATTTTCTATACAATAAGCGGATTTATATAGCATAATAACGTCTTTATGATAACTTAATATTTCCCTAAATAGTCATATGAAATTACAAAATCAACAGAGGTTTATTGGTTTTGTTCAGCTTACTAATAATAGACTTTAAAATGTCACAGGAAAATATTTGTGAAGTATTGGTACTGGGATATTTTAAGTTCTGAAATTGCCTTCTTTAGATTATGTATGACAAGTTAATTCTGCTGTATTCATTATGTTATACATTTTACATGGAGCTAAGGATTTGCCTCATGATAAAATTATATTGCTTCTTAATGCATTTTTTACAATGAAAGACAAAAGAAAGAAAATTCATGTTATTTATCACAAAAAGTAGACTAAAAGAAAAATTAGTATCTTTTTTAGGCAATGGAGAGTTATTAAAACTCGAAAACAGCCATAGTATTGCAGTGTTGTCATTCTCATAAAAACTCTTGGTGTAGATTTGAAGCTGTATAAAGTGTTTGAAGAGCAAATCAACTCTTTCAATTTTTTAATATTGCATTTAAATGAATGAAATGCCACCGCTAAGCTACAATCATCTTGTTATCCAAACATGACTTGAAAGTTTAAATGAGTCACCAACATTGTGGAAATTCAAAATACTCTTTTCTACTGTAGCTAATTTGAATGGTAATCTTTGCTTCATAAAGCATGATTTAAATATATACAACTTTCCTCTAAAGTTGTCTTGAAATTGAGAGAAAGAAACTTTTGTCTATTGATTCACTCCTCAGGTGGTTCCAAAAGCTAAGGCTGGACCAAGCCAGAGCATGAACTGGGAGTTCAATACAGGTCTAAAATATTAATATTTCAATATGTAATCAATATAAAATGAATGAGGTTGTTTACCATCTTGTTGATACTAAGTCCTAGGATCTTGTACTATATTATACATACAATGTATCTCAATTCCAGCCACCTACACTTCCA